CCCCTCCCCACACTCCACCAAGTTAAAACAATTTTATAATTGCATTTGCTTTATACGAATCCTGAACAAAGTTTTTATAAAATTTAAAAGATCTTCCATGAAACACATGTAAACTAGACAAGCCCTTTAACATAGAATAATCTCATATCAACTGTAGTTCATTTTTATTTAACAACAAAATTACATCTCTTTTTATTTTGGATATTCAACTTTCTTTAAATTCACATTATCAAATAACTCACACTTGAATTTTACAATGAACACAAGAAATTTTAAGAATAAGAAACATTTCTTTCATTTACTATGAATCAAGTAATTATTATTATTAAAACTTATAATTATAAATTTATATGAATAAAATCTATATGCATTTTTCCTGAGTGGTATTTCCAGACAGGTATATTTCTGTAGTTGCTTTGACATTTTGATCAGAATGCATTAAGTTCTGTAATAACTTCAAAATTCTAGGAGCTTACCACAGGGAAGCTTGTTTTTCTTTGATATCACCATGCACTCATGGTCAGTTCTCTTTTTTTCTAATGAGGGTGCCCTCTTCTCGATCCTAGCCATGTTAATCAGGGATTTCTCTAATATATTTCTGTATAGTAGATATATATCTGCTTTGTCTCTATGTGAACAGGTTTCTGTGTCTGTGAATGTGTATAGATTATATACATGTATGTGTATATATATATTTCCCGTTGGCATATAAGAAGAAACTTATCATTAGACATTGAATCATGTAATTATGGCAACTGAGAGTTCCTATCTGCTGTGGAGACTCAGGAGTGCTGTTGGTATGACTCACAGGCTTGGAAGCTGGGGAGCCCGTGCTTCATAGAAGTAATCTGAGAAATATATAAGACAATAAATATGGACCACTTATACATGAAAATCATTTAAAATCCTTCATATAATAAGCAAAACACAAAACATCTGGGGCTGGGCAAGAGGAACACTGAAGTCAGAAGTCATGGTATAGCCTCATCATTGAGCACCTGTTGTGTTTCTAAGTGAAGGCATTTGATTTATGTCAGTCTCCTGGTATCTCTGTTCCTCTAGGTAATTCCCCTCTGAAATAGATGTATAGTACAGCTCCACTCTGGTATTCAGTTTTCTACTACTGTAACAAATACTTGAAATAATCAACTTATAAAGACAAAAGGTTTATTGTGGTTCAATTCTGGAAGTTGTACTCTGTGACCTGTTGGCCCACTGGCATAGGCAGCTGGCAGCATATCATGGGCCAGGGTGTGGGGTGACACATAGCAGAACAAAGCTGCTCACCTCATGGCTGGGAAGAGAAGAAGAAGGGCATGAGATCCTGCTGTCCCGTTCAGGGGATTCTGCCCAGCGACTAGAGACCTTTCACTAGATCCCAACTCCTGAGAGCTCCACCACCTCCTAGTAGCACCAAGCTAGTGGCCTTTAAGGGATAAAAGAATCGAACTCTAGCTCACCAATAGGGTCACCGTAGACAGCTGAATTACTGCACCCAAAGTGCTGCTCCCACAGTGAACACTCAGACATCAATCATTACTATTGGAAGAGAGAAGGTGGCAGAAAGCAGATGCTAAAGGGCCTGCACGTCTGCCATTTGCTTGACCACTGTAGAGGGTACTCATTCATATGCCCTGCCCAAGCTATCTTGGGTCATCTCATACCATGAAAATATTATTCATTCAGGTGCAGTAACTCAGCTGCCCATGATGACACTGTTGTGTGAACTAGAGTTCAAAAATATCATTCCCTGAAAATAAGACCAGCTCTTATGTTAAATTTTGCTCCAAAAGATGCACCAGGACTTATTTTTCAGGGTAATTTTATTTTTTCATATACAAAAATCTATATTTGTTCAAATACAGTCTTGTCACTTTTTTCTAGAACACTGTTATAGTTCTCCAAACCCCACATTATGGCCTGAATGTCTTGAAATTCCATTTCTATGGAAATATTGGCCCCAGCCTCTCATGTCCAGCAGTAGAGCTCTCTTAAAATGTGCACATCTCATCCACGTAGCCTGCTCACAGGGCATTGGAAACACAGCTGTCAGTGACTTTATCCCATGAATTTTTCACCCAAGTTACAATCCCTTGGAGGCTGGGCTTCACAGAGTTTCCATTAAATCAAGTATTAATTAAAGACTTAGGAGACAGTTGTGGCCAAAACATGATGGCAGTTAGGACCATGATGGTTCACACAGATAAACAAAAGATTGCAGGCACCAAAATTCAGAGGATGTTTACTTCACATGAGTGAATTAAGTATGTCTATTACAACACACAATGTATTGAATTTTTCAGATTCATATTATATACAACCATGTCCAATTGTTATTGCATCCACACATTGTTCATTACTTAAAACAGTCCAATACACTAGATCTTCAGTGAGTGAGGAGTGAAGCAGAAAGCAATTGAAAGTCACCATGAGTCTTGGTTTGGAGCTGGCAGATTTCACTTTAGGTTTACTCCAGATTGAAACTAGTGAAAATGCAGTACCATCACCATGGCAGTTTTACAATATGGCTGCAAAATCTTTTCATGGCTGTGATTTGAATTACATGTTGTAATTAAAGGTTTTTAACATGAGAAAAAAAGTGGTACACAAATACAGGTTGTATTACGACCACCAAGGCTGCATGCTGCATGACAAAACAAATGTATAAAGTAATTGTAGCATTACTGAACCAGGTACTTGAAATTGAATTCAGGCTGAATATGAATAAAAAGAACTGATCGCAGGCTTATGCAAAGTAAATTATGTCTTAGAATATCAAAAGGTCAACTATTCTGATTGTCAACTGCCTTATTTTCCTGGTAAATATTTTGAGAAGACTTTTTATAATAACTGCCATTACACTAAAAGATTGCAAAAAAATAGAATTGTAATCAAATTCCCCATAAAATATGCAGAGTAAATCTTACTACATAAAAATTTTAAAAACCACATAACACCCCGAATAAAGGTTGACTTCACTGAAGAAAAATGCTGCTTTTGTGCATAAATCATTGGTGCAAACTGATAAGGCTTTCTGGGGCAACAGAGAAGATGATCTATAAGAGTCATCTGTTTAAAATTTGTTCAGAAGCATTCATAAGGTTGTAAATTGCTGCTTATAGCATTAATAACCTTTCTATTATTTAAGTGAATGACCAAAGAATAATGGGAAGAAAATGTTTCTCAAAATAAGGCCAAAGGCCCAAAGCAATTCTAATGTGGGCTCAGTAGGAAACATTTTAAACAAATGCCTTGTGTGAGTATTTTACTTTCTGAATGCCCAATGGCAAAGAGCAGCTCTTAAAAGCAGGATCAGAAACATATTTCTGACATGTCAGAGTTCTCTGAAAGTTCATGTTGTGTACACTGATTTTTGTTTTTAAGCAAGTTCCAAGTATTACCAGAAACACAGATTCCTTGCAAATGAACATGTCAATCCTTAGAAACACTTTCTTTTGATGTTTTCCTTACTTTTCAAATTTAGCTATTTGATGGAAAGATAAAATATGACTCCAAGCTTGGGAAAAGTTATATTTCTAATGAAATGAGGCATCCAAATGAAGATAGAAAGATATGTTAGTAAATGCCTACACATGTTGTGATCCTAAATTTAGAACTAGATAGCTTAGCTAGAATTAAACTTCAGTAAGATTGTGCCATTGTAACTTATTTAGATGATGGTGGTTACTTTTCAAGTCCTTTGCACAGAAATGGCCCTGAAACAGATCAGTGCTGTATCTGGCAGCTGTGTAAATAACGAATTGCTAACTACAAATTTTAATAAAAATACTTTGAAGTAGTACAGTTCATTTCAGGGGCAGAGTTCTTCAAATTATTTTTACTACAATTTGTAGTTAGCAATTTGTCATTTCAAGAGTTTCCAGATACAGCATTGCTCTGTTTCAGTGCCATCTCTGTGCAAAGGACTTGAGAAGTATCCATCATCCTCTAAATAAGTTACAATGGCACAATCTTAATAATGTTTAATTCTAGGCAAGCTATCCAGTTTTAAATTTAGGATGACTTAAAATGTGTAGGCATTTAATAAGTTATCTTTCTATCTTTATTTGGATGCCCCATTTCATTAGAAATGTAACTTTTCCCAAGCTTGGAGTCATATGTTATCTTTTCTACAAATAGCTAAATTTGAAAGTAAGAAAAACATCAAAAGAAAATGTAAGGATTGACATGTTCATTTGCAAGGAATCTGTGTTTCTGGTAATACTTGGAACTTGCTTAAAAACAAAAATCAGTGTACACAACATGAACTTACAGAGAACTCTGACATGTCAGAAATATGTTTCTGATCCTGCTTTTAAGAGCTGCTCTTTGCCACTGGGCATTCAGAATGTAAAATACACAGGGCGTTTGCTTAAAATGTTTGTTACTCAGTCCACATTAGAACTCCTTTGGGATTTTAGCCTTATTTTGAGAAATACTTTCTTTGCATTATTGTTTTGATGTGCACTAAATATTAGAAAGTATATTTATGGTGTAATATTTTAAGATGGTTAAAGTTTGACTAAGGAGACAGAGCTAAAATATATGTGGCTTCTGCAGAGTTGTTCAAAGTTGTTACTATTTTTTTGGATTTCCCTGAATATTACAAAATCAGGAGCCTAAATATATAGGTCATATAGTTTGGGAGCAAAACAAGCATAATGAGAGATTATTTTCCAGTACAGTAAATTAAAAAAAAAATCAGGAATATGTTTCCAAGCAACAAATGGAATGTGTTTACAAATTTGGTGAAAAGAAATTGCCTCATCATTAAGTCTTATCATAAAAGGTAATTTTGTCAACCAAAAACCAAAATCAAACAGGGCATCTTCATATAGAAAAAGGAAATTAAAATGAACTTCCAGACAATTATAAAATTGTCAGTTGAATGCAAGCTGGTAACAAGTTTTGTCATGCATTAAATAGATACACAAACAGATGCTTAATTGGAAGGTGACATTCAGACTAATTCTTCTTATGCGAAAAGGGGATTGATGTACTCAAAGCCCGAATTCATCTATGCTGTTCACAAAGTAACTGTTATCAGGCATGAGCTGGACAGGTTTGTTGGTAAATTCAGGGTCAAAGTTTTCTATCCCGAATTCTATACCAATACTTGGCTTAAAGGGAGGAGGCACTTGCTTTTTTTCCATCATGTTCCAGTCCAGATTGTTAAAGAATGGATGCTCTTTAATATCGATGAATCCTCTCTGAGGGTGACAGCCCAATCTTACCTCTGGCTCCTTCTTCAGAAGACCCTTGAGGATGCTTCTGGCTTCGATAGACAGGTGATGTGGAATGTGAACTTCTCTTTCTAACGTAGATTGCAAGACATTGTATGTGTTTAGATCAGAGTTCTTGGGACTGTCTGCAAAAGGATATGGAGGCTCTCCCACCATAATTTCGAACATTACTGTTCCAAGATTCCACCAGTCCACACTGAAACCATAGCTTTGGCCTCTGACAATTTCTGGAGCTAGATAACTGAGTGTGCCACAGAAAGTCTTATCGCATGCCTTCAGTCCTGCCTTACATAAGTCGTAATCTGTAATTTTAATGTGTCTGTCCACATCTAGTAACAAGTTCTCCAACTTCAGATCCCTGTGTAATATCTCACGCTCATGAAGAAACTGGAGAGCTAAGGAGATCTCTCCGGAGTAGAATCTCACATGTGCTTCAGGAAAGATTCCAAACCATTGCATATGGTTAGTCAGGTCCCCTCCATTGATGTAATCCAGGATAAAGAAAAATCTGGTTGGTGTCTTAATGCAGGAATGCAGGCCAACCAGATAAGGGTGGTTCAAGGTCTCCAATATTTGCTTTTCTACCTGGAGATGAATAAGGTTTTCATCGTCCTTTCTCACCACTTTCATGGCATACAGGTGATCTGTTTTTTTACACCAAACTAGTAAAACTTTACCATAGCTTCCTCTCCCGAGGACATGGAGAAAGTCAAAGTCTTTAAGAGCAGAAGAGCACAAAGGCCTGCCACTTTCCTTGCTATTATTTGTCTCATTCTTATCATCTATTTCTTGCATACCCACATGACTTTTAATATTTGATGAGACTACTTCCTGTTTGGGATGTAAAGCCATGGAAACTTGGTTTATTGGCATTATGCATTCATCATGCAAAGTACGGTGCTTGCATGGAACTCTGACGAGTGTATGGCACTTCTTATGAACTAAAATTTTACAGTGCATACATTTGTATGCCTTGTGTCCTAATCCCCTCATGGGGTCTGAGCAGACAGCACAATTAGCATGCTTACTGAACATTTTAGATTGAAGAGTGTGGCCGTTAGCACAGTGAACCTTTCTCAAGTGGTGTGAAGCTCTACGGCAGATGGATTTATCTTCTGGAGAAGGTGCCTTAGTCTGTTCTTGTACCCAAAACACCTGAGGAGCCTCTGGAAATGATGGTGGGAGACCCTCCGTATCCTTTTGCAGACAGTCCCAAGAACTCTGATCTAAACACATACAAGGCAGAGGAGTTTTTGGCACCCAAGGCACTTTAGGATCTTCTAGTATGAAAATCACCTTTCCATCTTGTGGTAAGCAAGGCACTTCAGTACGTTCAGATACACAAGACACCTCAGTATATTTTGGTGCACAAGATGATGTATGAATTAGTAGCTTAGAATCTATATTAATCTCAGAAAGCATAAATCCATCTTCTAATTCCAACAGAGGTAACATATTGTATGGATCTCTCTTTTCATCTACACATCTTGTGGTGAGGTGTTTATTACCAAATGAGCAGGTGTCTAGAAGTTCATTGCCCTCAGAAGAAAAAATAATTCTCAAGGCTTGTGTCTTCTTACCCCCACCTACAACTTGGGCCTGTTGGGAGGTGGTGTAGGCCATGGAGGTACTTGAGAAGAATAGGTCAGAGAAGGGTTGGTCATGCAGGAAAACTGGCATACAGGGCTTAATGGGTGAGGAAGGCCTTATTGCCTTTATTGACTGTTCAGGGTGGGGTTGGGCATCTCTCCCTGCCAAGAAATTCTCAATAATGGCTCAGCCCAGCTGGTCGTATTGTAGGTTTCTTAGTGTTTGGTGGTTGCTGGACACTGTGACATTGGTCTCTACTTCTGGACACCTTGGTCTGTCTGACTTTACTGCTGCCAGCTCTGCTGAGACCTGTCCAGAGCTGCTGAGTATCTCGGGGGCTGTTGAAACTTGCCCGTGGATCTTTTGAGTTTCAGTTTCATTTGTATCTGATTCCAGGGAATTTTGGGGTGGGTACCTTGACGTTAGCTGTTCACAGTTGGTTGGTCTTGGGGAGACCGTCTCTGGGCTGACTGTGAAAGTTGCATGCCTTTCATACCTTGGTCTGTCTGACTTTAGTGCTGCCAGCTCTGCTGAGACCTGCCCAGAGCTGCCGAGTATCTCAGAGCCTGTTGAAACTTGCCCATGGATCTTTTGAGTTTCAGTTTCATTTGTCTCTGAGTCAACAGAGTTTTGGGGTGGGTACCTTGATGTTGGTTGTTCACAGTTGATTGGTCTTGGGGAGACCATCTCTGGGCTGACTGTGAAAGTTGCATGCCTTTCGCACCTTGGCCTGGATGGTGTTAAGCATTTCCTCAATCTTAGACATAGACTTTCTCTGCCTGGGGTCCTGGGGTTGTGGCCTCCAGATGTGGAGAAACAACTCAGCATCCTCACCAATGAGTGTCTCCAGGCAAATGAGCTGGGGAGGTGGCCGGTACTGGATTGTGATGTCTTCTACAAGGGTTCCAAGTTCTGTTTGGTCATGTTGACGGGAAGTTATGTCCAATAATTTGAGGTCCAATAACTGAAAGAAAGCCTATGGCTCAAATTTTGTCATGCTAAGTAAATCAGTGGCTAGTTATTTTATTATTTTATCTACGTATCTGTGAATCTATTTATCACCTATTAGTTTTTTACATTTGCATTTTTCTTATTTGTACTTTGCATCTGCACAGTGAACTACAGTTATATCCTCAGATATTATTTTTAGATACACACTAAGAGTCTTCCTAAGTCACAAAATTGGTCTATCTTGTGATCTCCTTAACTCAGATGCCCAGAGTGCTGGGATTATAGTCATACACCATCTGTCTCATTCAGCATGCTATATATATATATATAAACAGCAAATCTGGGAAAACTCCTGGCACTCTCAATCATTGTGACATCTTCAATTTTAAAGCAATGTGTGTACACTGCTACTTTTCACAGTACTGGGAGGTCTTTTGCATGTAAAAAAGGCCTTTTTTCTGAAATCAAGTACTGGGGATTTGAACCTAGAGAGCTATGAAATTTTAGGGTGTTTTTCTTTCATATCATCATTTCTATTTCATTAGGTAGTACTGAGACTTTCTATAAAAGTCCACATTAATTTTTCTTAAGAGATAAAAATATTTGTTTCAGTGTATAACATCTGTGTGTGATGATAGTGGCTCCATAGGTTCTAGTTTTAAGGTACACACATGTGATGAATTGTTGAATTTTAGCTAATGAATTTAATACAAAGTATAGTATTCAGTATTATCACATATTATATTTCCCCCAAAATAATATATAACTAGATTGACCTAACTAGGATCACCCCACCTCATCATAACCATGATGATGACCAGGATCTTGCAGAAGATTATACCTTGGTAGTTTCTTGCTTCATAGCTACTCTGTAATGACATGTAAACAAGGACAGTTGGTTGAGGTGGTCAGTTACTTTCTGACTTGTTTTTATTTTCTGGAAATCAAAAGAGTGGGGCAGGATAGTAAGTGGTGATGACATGGCAGACAGTTTCGTAATCACCCAAGTGGTGATAATGAGCATGTACACAGAGCATTTCAAACTTTCCTTTTGGCCGCTTGGAATCACTTCCTGTCCTATCCCAATCAGACCATGTACTATCTACCCCAAGTGGATAGTCTGCATTTTTAGATGTGAGGAAGCTATCGCCATTCAGGAAGTATTGTTTTTGCTTTTTTAGAGACCTTATTCACTCAGTACAACTGCACTGATGGGGGAGAACAGACACAGAGCAGCCCTTCACTCTCCCAAAATGAGTAGACCATGCAGGAGGAATAGAACCTCCCAACATGGATTCACTCTGTGTGGAGCAGTGGTGAATCGCCCTGAAAGGTTACATAAGGGCAGCAAGACTATGAGCTTGAATGTTAATGACACGTCTGGGTTGAAAGCACAAGGCCCATAGAGTGTGAGATTTTAACAACAGTGTGTTAGTAAATGTTTAATAACCAACATATTTGTTTATGTATATATGTGTATTACATGTACACACATGTGTATTACAAATTGTGCTGTTTTAAAAGCCATGTGACACACAACTTATAAAGAATAAAAACATAGTGCTCTTTCCAATGAATTCACAGGATGCTTTTTATATTTTTGAATCCATATTTGACCTATGCTCCCACCTGACAAACTCGTATAGTTCCAACACAAGTGCTGGGTGATACTTTTCTCTAGATTAAGTAGTAAGAGAAAAGTTCAAATATCTGGACTTATGTCTATATGTTACTTGTTCCTCAATGATATGAGTGACTTTTTTGCTGAATGGAATAATGATGATTTTGGGGTAGGAGAAGAACATTTTCATTTTGTGCGCAGCTGACATGACAGATGCAGACATGACACACTTTTAAATTAAGCACATTTTTAACACTATTCTTCCTCATTTTCTTAAGACTGCAGTCAGTCAGTGAAACTGCAAGTCAGGTCCTGGTATGTGGCATTTCATTTCTAGGATATAAAACTTCTACCAGGCTTGGGAGTATACTCAGCAGTACAGCACTTGCCTCACATATGTGAGCCACTGGGCTCCATCTCTAGCACTACAAGGACACAAACACAGAACCTCTTACCATGGTCTTTCTAAACTACCAATGTGAGATGACCAAATGTGAAATAGGGAAGAGATGACCAGTATCACCTTTTACAGCATTTATTCCTAGAAGAATAAAATAGCTAAGAACACAGATAATAACAAAAATACAAGCTGAGCATGTCAGTGCATGCCTGAAACATCAGCATTCTGAAAGGCTCTGGCAGGAGGATTTTAAGTTCAAGCCTAGCCTGCATAACTTAGTAACACGCTGTCTGAAAATTAAAAAAAATAAGAAAAAATTAGGGATGTAGCTCAGTATGAAGGGTGGTACTGGGGGAGGAGGTTGGATAAAAGCTTCTGCATGCCTCTGGTCACCAGCCATGTGAGTCACCCCAGCCATTCAATCTTCACAAGCCCCTTACCATGTCCTCATCTAAATTTGACTGCATAATTTCTGAATATGATAAAGTGAGTGGTTTATGGCACTTAGTTAGGAGTATTTTGTCCCCAGCAATGGAAAGGGCCTCATAGAAACAAGGGCTACATTGCAGCAGGTCCCGGCTGTCCAGAAAAGAGTGAATCCCTCAGAGATCATAGCTGGTGGATGCTTTTAAGACTTTGACCTCACTTATAATGTTTACAACACTTTCATTTATTCAACAGGTAGAACATGTGCCCAGTGAGTGCTAGTGCATGACAGGCACTACTCAGTGCTGGATAAAATCTTTGTCCTTGAGTGTTTATCACATTGTGGAGATCACAGACAATATGCAAGACAAATCCACTTTGTTAGATCAGGCCTGAGGAGAAGACGAAAAGAGACTACCAAGTGGAAATGCAGTGTCAGAGGTGAGGCTGGACCTTCAGAAATGATGGCCAGGAAAGGCCTCCTGGAGTGGTTGACTTTAATGAAGTCCTGTTTTGGAAAGGCCCAGGCTGGCCACCACCAGGCCCCACCTGGCTGTCCTCTGCTCTGCTCATCTCCAGTCACCTAGAGAGGCCTCAGGGCAACATTAGGGTCCAGGAGTTTGGGCATCTCCAAAACAACAGGCAGCAGCCTGTTCAGTGGGAACCACCTTCCTAAAAGGTGATGTGACAAAACGGTACAAAAACAAAAGCAGTATCACACCTTCTTCTTCTTCTTCTTCTTCTTCTTCTTCTTCTTCTTCTTCTTCTTCTTCTTCTTCTTTTTTTCACCTTCTTTCTTTTTCTTCTTTTTATAAGAAAAGCATATATTAATAAGTAAAAGTATTTATGTATATTAAAATTTGTATTAAAAGTAAAATATTATTTTACTTTTTAATTTTAGCTTGTTTAGAATCATTTTTCATAGGGTAATTTCACTTATATTCCAGTCTCAATAATAACCATAGAAGTTTCAGTTCTGTCTTATTTTGTTATAAACTTTTTTCTTTGATTTTCATTATATTTATCCTATCTGCTTCTTTTAAAACATATCTCCGGTGATTTTATAATGTGTACTTTTATGCTTATCTGTTCATTAGAATTTTAAAAACATGAGCAACTTATAAGGAAGTTGAATTTCTTATTAAAAATTAAGAAAATTATTAGGGGCTGGGGACTTAGGGCAGTTGAAGAAGCACCTGCCTGGGAAGTGCAAGGTCATGAGTCTGATCTCTGGAAAGGAAGGAGGGAAGGAAGGAAGGAAGGAAGGAAGGAAGGAAGGAAGGAAGGAAGGAAAGAAGAAAGAAAGAAAGAAAGAAAGAAAGAAAGAAAGAAAGAAAGAAAGTGTTCTTGAGATTAGAGCTGCTTAGTGAAGTGACTTGCCTCAGGCGCTCTGTGTTCTTCAGGCTGGCCTTGGCTCTGCTGCAAGTGATCACTCCGTCTTTAGTCACTACCCACATCATAGGAATTTGGGTGAGGATCTTTGGATTTTAATGTTTGATTGTGATAGCATTCTATCCTACTCAGGACCCTTATATCCATTTGCAGAATGTAAGTGCTCTTTAGGTTTTAAAATATTTTCATTAGAATATGTTTGCAATATATAATGATTACATTCGTCACGGGGTTTAGTCTGTA